TGGGAGGTTTTTTCAGAGCTGTGTTGGAGCTGTGACAACCCAAAGTGTGACATCCCGATGTGTCCACCTGGTCCTGCTCCAACCTGAGCCTCCAACGGGATCCCAGGGGTGACAACAGGACCCCTCATGTCCTTGGGGACCCCCACAGTGAGTTTTCCCAGGAGTTCTGATGAATATTTTGGCATGTGGATGTGCATTGCTTCGGTGCATATTTATGCAGCACCATCTCTTTGGTCAGTGCCTGCTGGGATGGGGTGTCCTGGCACGATTCTGGTGTTAAAAACACCCAATTTTGGTGCATTTCAGTCCCCAAACAGGTGGATCCATGACCTTTGAGATCCTGGTCCACCCTGGTTTAGCTTTACTGAGGTTATGGGTCAGCCCTAAAGAGAAGTTCCCTGCAGAAGGAAAAGCAATTTTTCCACTCTTTTTTTGCCTGGATGTGGCTTAGATGTGGTTTATCAAACTTTCAGGCACAGGCTGAGAGCAAACAAGTCAAATATCACCAGTAATGGTGAAATTCCATTCATATAAATGTTAATAAATTAAAATAACATGTTTGAGCTGTGGGTAAGGGGGATTGGCAGCCAGGGATGGGGGCATTCCATGTATCCCACCCCGTGTTGCTTGATAGGTCCTCTGGGGCTGGATTGTGCATTTCTGGAGCCCGGGAGAGGAGGAGCAGGAGGCTCTGGAGAGTGAATTAACCTCCTGTTATGGACATGCATGGAAAGCAGAGTGTCTGGGCTACGAGGATCCCAGTGGGAAGTTTGGCTGGAGACATGGGGTACCCGTGTTTTGGAGCAGGGAAATGCTGGGAATCACTTCTGCCCCAGGCCTGGGATGGCCTGGGCCTTGTCTCCAGCTGTGCCTGGGGAACGAAACCAGCTCCCAGCACAAGCCCAGGGCCCTGAGTCATCCCAGGATCCGGGAACTGGGGCTGCGGGGAAGCACCGGGGCAGGAGGCTGAGGATGAGGTTTGGGGTTGGGAAAGCTGGGCTGGTTCCAGGAGGAAGGGGAGGTTTCTCTGGATTTGGGCAGTGATGGGATCCAACCTCTGTTGGGGTCTTGTCCCACCATCGCCTGTGTGAAGTCATTCCCTGCCCTGGGAATTTGCTGTTCAAACACTTTTTGGGGTAATGCAGCAGCCAGCAGAGACCCTTCCCCACCGTGTCCTTCCTCTCCCAGCCAGAGGTGACATTCCCACCTCGCTGAGCTTTTCTTCCATGAGCTGCTTGTGCGTTTCTCCGTATTTTTCTCTCCCTCCTAAATCCTTTCCCGGTGGTGAGAACACGATCCAGTGGCATAGCGAGGTTGGCATAACGGGATGTGACACTTATCATAAAAAGAGGGATTTGCAGGGTAGGGGCTGACAGGCTCCTTGGGGCACGAAACCCCGGCTTGATGGTGATGGGAACAGCAAGAGTGGGCTGGAGCCGTGTCAGGAGGGAGAGGGTCAGCGGGGCGTGGGCGAGCAGGAGTGGTTTGGGAGCATCCCATGCCCCAAATCCGGCACCGGGATCGGTGTGGAACCCAGCTGACATGCAAACGGGCAGCTGGGCTGGGAAATGCCAGAGCCTGGGAGTGCTGGGAGCTGCCCAGGCCCTGCCCTGCTCTCTCATGGCCTCCCTGCACGCAGGGATAATTGGAGGGAGAGTTTCTCTTGGAGCGGGTGTTCTCTCACATGCTCTTTGTTGGAAAGCAGGACGAGCCTGAATGTTCCTGGGAGCTGGGGCAGGATGCAGCGCTCACCGCTGCTGCTGGCTTTGGTGGAGAGGAGGAAACCCCAAAATGTTCACCTTGCTCTGCAAGGACACGGTGGAACAGATCCATATCCACCTGCAATTAGCATCCTGTTCCTCTTTATTCCCTGTTCCAGCCTCCGCTCCGCTGGCGGGAGGCTGGATTGCCATCCCGGCAGCTCTGCCCTTCCCGGGATGCTCCCCTGTGCTCCCGAGAGCCAGTTCCTACATCCCGACCTCATTATAAAGATCACAGAGAGAGAGGAGAACAAATCTGGGCTCCCGGCTGCGCCGGCTTTGAAGCCTCTTGCCCCCGTCGAGCCGTGAGAGGCAGCGCAGGAGGAGCCCTGGTTGTTTGGGGATTAACTTCCCCGCTCGGATAATTGTTGGTTAATCGTTTCAGCGCGATGCCGGGGCCGGCACCTCGGCTGCTTCCCTGCGGGATGCAGCCCCCGCCCCCGGCTGTGCCCCCCTCCTCCCGCTGTCCCCGGTGTCCCCGGGGCCGGGTTGGGACTCGCTCCCGGCGAGGCGGCAGCAGCCCAGCCCCGCTCCCCTGCACTTCCCTGGGTCCCATCCGTCATCTGTTTGTCCTGGTGCCCTGCCAGCGATTGTGCCGATTCCCACACCCACTTTCCATAACCCTCCGTCCTCGCCCGGGCGAATCGCTGGCGAGCTCTCGCCACCCATCCCTTTCCCCTCCTCTCTCCGATGGGATCAGACACGTTCTGGAGAGGGGGAAGAGAGGAAAGAGGGGGGAAAAGGACAACAACAACAACAAAAAAAAGATCAAGAGGAAAACAAAATGTGACTCACTGCCTTTAATTTATTTGTATTTATTTATTTACTCCCCCCACCCTACGCAGCGCCGAGTGCTGGCCGTGATCTTCCAGGGAGCCTCGGTGGTTGTCTGAGGCATCAGGAATGGGGGGGAATAATTTTCTCCACTCTTTTGGCCGAGGAAAAGATCACAGAGAGGAGCTGCTGGCACAGAAGCTGCGTGGCACAGATTTTTAGGGCTGCCCAGGTCTCTGCATGAGCATCCCGTGCCCCGCCAGCGCTTGACACCACACGGCACAGACCGGAGGGTGGAAATATCTAATTCCACCTCCTACACTGTGTCCTCGGCAGGGGAAAGAGAGAAAGAGGAGATAAAAGGCTGGGAAGCTCAAATGGTGTCATTAGGAACTATTAATGCTCTCATAAAAGGGCATTAATAAACACGGCAGCTCATCAGCGTCCATTAGCTCCGCTCGTGGCAGGGATCTTTGGGAGCTGCCGGAGTGTGATGCTCCCCTCGCCCTCATCCTGGTGTCAGCAAAGGGGAAACGGTCTGCAGGGGGGTCATTCCTCATGAAAACCATTCCCTCCACAAAAAAAAACAGGGAGGAAAAGCTCGCAGGAGCAAGCAGGGCTTTACACCTTCAGTCCTTCCGTGCTCCCAGGGTAGCTGTTTACTATGAAAGAAAAAAAAGAAAGGCAGGGTTTGGAGTGCTCATCCCTACTTTCTCCCTCCCGCCCTCTTCCTGTTCTCGCCTCTTAAAAGGAGCTTTATCCTTTGACTCTCCCATCCCCGGGGCAAGCCAGAACCCACAGCATCTCGGGGCGAGCAGGCAACCCACATCAGCGGGCGGGAAAACAGGGAGGAGGCCCCGGCCTCTCCCGATAAGCCCATGGCAAAGCCAGGAATAGCAGCGAGGTCCCCGCATGGGAGCATTCCAACCAGGAACAGAGAAACCCTCAGTCCCTGCCTTTGAAGAGCGGGGGCTGGCAGCCGGCCCAGCCTCGGGGAGAGCCGGGGATGCGCTGGGAGCTTCCTGTGCCAGGCCGGGCTGGGCACATCTGGGGGGAAGCAGGCACAGCTGGAGGGGCTGGGCAGAGCAGATGTGCACATCTGGATGGAGGCGGCACCGAGCATGGTCTGGGCAGGCCCCTGTGGGTGGGCTGGTAGTGCACAGCTGGATGAGTGCTGTGCACATCTGGATGGGGGGTGAGCCCGCACATCTGGATGGAGCAGGACGCTCAGACATCTGGGCAAGGAGAGAGCAGCCAGCACAACTCCCAGGGCCTCGTGTGTCCCTTCCAGCACCCTTGGGTGCTTCTCCCCTCACACAGCCATCCCTCTGCCTTCCCCTCCCCTGGTGATCCCAGGCATCCCAACCTGCCCAAAGTCTTAGTCATCGCCTCTCTGTCATCGGGATATTTTCGGCTCCGGCTGCCAAGGTGGCATTGGGGAGCTCATATCCAAGGATCTGAGCGGGCCCTTGGCTTCCCTGTGACCTTTGGGCAGCTGGCAGGAGGCTGCCACCAGCCATGACTCAGTGCAGGGCAGGTTTTTTTGTAGGGAAAGGGAAGCTTTGATCCCGAGGAGCCGGGGCACCGACCATGTTCCCCGCGTGCACTTTTGCCGGCGGTTTTTATCTGATGCATCTCTTTATTTTTTTTTTTTCGGGGTATAACAACTCCCAGGGCAGGTTAGGACGGAGGAGCCCTGGCAGTGGAGCGTGCGTGGGCAGGACTGGAATAACGGGTGCCGTAGGAAAGGATTTACGAGCGCTGGGGAGGTTGGGGCTGGCTGGGAACGGCGCAGCAGGTCAGGGGTGAGGTGGGTTGTGCAGGGCCAGGCTGCGGCCAGAGCTCCCGTTACTGCCCCTTCACCATCAACCCTCATCCCACTGGGTGTCCCAGCAAAGCCTTGATCCTCCAGGGAAGCATCCCAGGGTGGGGATGGAGAGCTGAGCCTGCTGGGCAGCGGGACTTGCTCTCCCAGCAGGAGTTTCGACTGAGGGCAAAACCACCAGGATGGAGCAAAGCTTTGCCACGGGAATGCTGGTGCAAATCGCCTCAGCCAGCCCCTTCCCACCCCTCCTGAACACGGGTGTGCCGAGCAGCACCAAGGCTTTTAACTGGGATATTGTGGTTTTCCTGCTGTGCCACAGCCTGGATCACTGCCCTGGATCACCAGATCACTGATGGGCCCCGTTGGGGGTGACAGCACCACCTGTGTGCCAGGGCATTGTGGGTCGAGCCCCTAAATCCCAAACAACCAAAGAAAACCCCTGCTGTGCCCCTTCACACCCACCCCAGCCCAGCATCCGCCCTGGAGGAGTTGTTCCCTAATGATCTGTACAAGGAAAACGCACAAAATGTTGGAAAAGGAATCCCTGGGGAGCAGCGGGTGGGGCAGGAGGGGTCCATCCCCCCGTGTGTTTCTCCCGAGGTTCCCAGTAGCACCTCATCCCCCTCTCCTTGTCCTTGCAGGGTGCGGATCTGAGGATTGGGAAGGTCAAAGGGCATGTGCTGTCAGGTGAGTGCAGACCCCAAATGAGGTCCCACCAGCTGGGGCGAGGTGGTGGCACACCAGGACACGAGGGAGGGACACGAGGGAGGGACACAAGGGGCTCCTCAGGGCACAGCTGGGCGCTCTCTGAAATAGGAACCACTTTTTCTCTTCTTTTCTTTTTTTTTTTCTAGAGGCAAAAGTGGTTAAAAAAACTCCCCAATGGTTGGAATCTCTCCAAACCAGTGCAAAAAGAGGGGGGAGGGGGGGGGGGAGGGATCCAATCCTAAAGAAAAACCCGAGATAAAAGTGGGTGAATCCCAACGACTCCTGTGATGTTGCACGAACAAAGATTCCCAGTTCCAAATGGGCCAGATCCCAGTTCTAAACGGGTCAGACATGGTTCGGGGAGTTCACACCCCCGGGGGGAGCAGGGAGGGGGTCTGGGGGCTCCCCTGGAGCCCTGCAGGAGTTCCGGCCTCAGGTCCCTTGGTGTCACATCCCCCTGTCCCTGACGGAGAGCGAGGGGTGGCTGTGTTGGGCATCTGAGGGCTCTCCCCATGGACCACCAGCCCTCAGCAGCTGGAGATGATGCCCTGAGCCAGCTGCAGGCCCCACATCTGGCCAGCTGTGCACTTCTTTCTACCACTCAGGCACAGACCCCCACGGGGCAGCCAGGAGGGCAAGGAGGGCTGGTCATGTCCTGTTGGGGTGCTGGGGGTCCCCTACCAGGGAAGGCTGCCCCCAGCATGGGGAGGGGGCTCGATGGGGTGGTGCAGGGAGGGGAAAGGGGGTGGAGAAGAGGTTGGGGCACCTGGCATGGAGACAAGGAGCACCCCAGGGCTCTGGAGTTGAAAGAGGAGGAGGAAAAGGAGGAGAGGGAGGTGGCTGTCAAAGCAGGAGGTTTTGAGGCAGGTTATTTCAGGAGAGGCAAAACAAGATCTGGCCCCTGGGCACTCAGGGGGGTGATGAGGGGGCGGGTTTGGGTGGGCACAGGGGCAGCTCTTGCCTGTGAAGCACCTGAGCTTCTACTGACATGTGACAAGGGACCAGGGTGCAGGACATTGGGTGGGAGAGCAATCCCAGGCTGCAGGGGGGTGATGGGTGCCTGGTTATGTTGGGAAGCAGGTCCCACTGGGCTCAGGGGGATGCTCAGCTGTCACCTTTCGCACCCCCAGGGTACGTCCGGCCCTCGCCCCCTCCCCACAGCGGGTACCACCGCTACCAGTTCCGCCTGTACGAGCAGCCAGCGCACAAGCACATCGCCCTGAGCCCCGATGAGGACGCCTCGCTGGGTAAGGATCCACTGGGCCCTTGATCCCAGTCCCCAGGGGCTTTCCCGGGGGTATGGATAATGCCATGTGTTCAGCCACGCCAGAAGTGCCAGGCTGGGGATGCTCGCCTGGTGCAAAGGGGCTTGGGGTCGTTCCACGGGGCATGGATGGGGTGTTAAATCCTTGCAGGGCAGCAGAAACCCTTTGGAAAATGTCTGGTGATGGGCTGGGTAGCGGGATAGGAAGCAGGGAGAGATCTGGGCTGTGAAATCCAGCCCTTGCCAGCACATCCCCCCCCTCCTTCCCGACCCGGAGCTGCGGGCGTTGCATCACCCCCACCTCGGATAAGGATCAGCCGTGGGGATGGTTTAGCAAGGGATTGCTCAAACCGGGCTGACACAACGCCCGCCAACTCCCAGCTCCTCAATTCCCAACTCCCCTCTGCTGCCTCCTCCTCCCAAAAATCCTGCACGGGTGGGGATGGAGGCAGTAGCTGAAACCCCTCGGAACACCATCCCAGTTACCTCACCATGGGGCGCGGGATAACCCGCAGGACCCCCAGGATGGGGGTTCCTTCCCTCCTCGCAGGAGCTCTGTGGCTCACGGGGCCTCAGCAAGGGAAATTTCAGAACTTTCTCATCCGGGACCACAGGAGCACAGCCCGGCAGGCAGGTCAGGGCGCTGTGTCACTGCCTGACTCACTCCCTGCCTGTTAACCCGCACGGCACATCCCGGGGGGGCGGGGGGAAGCAGCTCTGGGGGGCTCAGTGTCCCTGGAACAGCCCCTCGGAGCAGGAGCGGGGTGTGATGGAGCCAGGAGCAGGGTGTGATGCTCCTCCTGAGCAGGTTGTGATGCTCCTTCTGCAAATCTCTCTGCGTGTTCTCTCTGCCCTTCGCTTTGTTTTCTGGCTCATTAGCTCGGCGTGTTAATGACACCATTGATGTCACCTCCCCCTCGCCCCTCATGCCCGGCATGGTCAGAGGAGGGGGCTCCCTGCTGTCCCCTCATCCCAGGGATGAGAAAGGACACTGACACACCCACCCAGGAGCTTTTTCCAGCTAAATCCTCTTATTAGCAGGATATGTGGTTCCAACCCCCAAAGAGTTCAGCCACCCTGTTCCTGAGGAGGTGTGGGGTGACCGGGCACTCCCCACCCTGGGCAGTCTCCATCCCATGCCTGAGTTTTCCAGCTCATCCCAAGCTTCCTGGGAAAGACCCAGCAGATGTTCCGATCCTCCCTTGTCAGGCAGTTGCGGGGGTCTGGCGGGGGCTGCTGTTTCAGGAGTGGGTTGAAGGTTATTTTTAACTGTTTCGCTGCTGCATCACATCCTTGCCCTATCCAGTGGGTGCTGCTGGACTGAACCACTGGCAGCCCGTTGTTTTTATTCCAAGGGAATGAGCCCTAAAAGCAGCCAAAGGATGAGTTCTTGGTGTCTCAGGGGTTTTAAAGAAATCCATCCCCGAGGCAGTGGGATGAACACCAGTGGATCCATCCAGCCCCGCGTGGCTGAGCCCTGTGGTGTGAAGGCAGAGCACAGGGGAGAGGAACAAATGCCTTTGGCAGTTTGTAGGAACAAGGAGGAGGTGACCCCAATCCCAATGGATCATGGATAAGAAACCAGCCAGCTCCTCCATGGCTTTGCCTTGCTCCTCTCCTGCACAAACCAGGCAGGTTCTCCTGGTGATGCTGCTGCAGGCACAGTTTGCAGCAGAACTTCCCATCTTATTTGGCCTTAAACCAGCCCCTTTTTTTTGCTTTTATTTCATTCTGCATCTGCTGGCAGCAGCATCTCCCTTTCACCAAGGGTGGGGGCAACCCTGGGCAGGGAGATGTCCTGAGAGGAGCTCCTGGTGGTGCAGGGAGCGGTGCTGGACCCTCCCAGCCTGCAGATGCATCCAGCAGTATCCCTGTGCCACGCATCCATCCCTCTGGCAGCTCGTCCCCTGGCAGAGCTGAGCCCTCCAGAGCATTTCTCACACCGCTCAGCTCCCAGAAAAACTCCCTCCTGGCACGGGGTGTGTTTTGGAGGCCGAGGCAGGAAAGGTCCCGGGCCAAGCGTGGCCGAGGCGGGGGAGGTGACATGTGCCAGGCGGGATGGCAGGAGCTCGGCCGGAGCCTCCAGAAGAGGGCACTAAACCGGGACCTGCCCGCGTCGCCTGTCCCTGCTCCTGGAAAAGATCCCTGGGAATTTAAAAAGCGAGGGGCGACGGCGAGCGTGGAAAATAAATCCGTGCTTCTCCTTCCCACTGCCTGGCTTTGCCATGCCAGCAGCTCACAGGGAGCCAGGACAGTTCCACGGTGGCTCTGGTGCCCACCCTGCTGTGGGGATGTCCCTGCTGGGGTGGCACCGGGTGGGCACAAGTCGGGTTCTGTGCCCAAGGGCACCTGGACTGGCAGTGGTGGAGCTTGAAGGGCTGCAGCACCTGCTCACAACCCTCCTGTGATGGGGAAATCGGTTGTTTACGGCTGAGGAGTTTCTCCAGGGTGGCTCTTGAGCAAAAAACTTGTTTCATCAGGAAAAAAAACCACCCTGATCCTTCTCTCCGTGAGCATTTCTGATCGACGCCGGCACCAGCCGGCTCTGAGTGACCTCGGGCAAATAACTCTCTCAGAGCCTCAGTTTCTTCACTGGAGTCTGATTCACTCCACTTTGTTGACCACTGAGTTGTCCCCAAGCACCAGCTCTGTCCCTGCTGGGGATGTTTGCGGTGTCCCTGTCGCTGTTCCTCTCGCTCTCCCCACTTCCCTCCCAGCCAGGAGTGTCACAGGCCGCAGTTGTATTTTCGGGGAGATGCAAGATAAGAGCTTGTGGTGTGTGAAATGTCAGAGCCACCCGTGGCATCCCCGGGGCGGCGGCACTGCCGTGAGCTCTCCATCCGTGAGCCACAGGAAAATCCCTCAGCCAGGGGAATTCGGGCACCTGGCAGAGCCCGGCTGCGGTTGTGGTGTGGGGGAATTAAAGTCCCTTCCCTGCTTTCACTGAGGGGCAGCTTTAATTAGCATAAAAGTTGGAGGCTTAATTGCACCTGCTGGTACCCGAGTACCTCATTCTGCTCCCACCCTGTCCTGGTGCCGGATGCCCACCAGCTCCGGTGAGCAGGGAGAGATGCTCCAGCATCCCCAAACCTCCTCCTGCCCTGGAAAGATATTTTACAACAGGGAATGGACTTTCTCCCCACGGAAATTTTCCCTCAGGGAATCAATGAGCCCCCTTTGGGGACCAGGCACCGGGATGAGCCCGACCAGCTGTTGGCTCCATTCCTTCTCCAGCCCCGGCTCGGGATCGGGGCCACGGCATTGACTCATGAGCCGACCTTGTGCGCCTCCAATCCGATCCACCCAGCTGGAAAATCGGGTTGGACTGGGCCCCGGCAGGGAGGGAAAGGCTGCGGCCGGGATGGGAGGCAGCAAAGGGCTACGGGGGGAGCTCCTGGTCCCTGCCAGAGCCCCGGGGTGTCACTTAATGGTGACCAGAGCGGCCACCAGCCTCCCGCCCACCTCCACGGGGACATCATCAATCTCGGCAGAGAAGCATCAGGGCTCCCATCAGGAGAACATTCCTGCTGATGAGGCTGATAAATTACAGCCGGGGGAGGAGGGGACAGGAGTTTAGGGGGCAGGGGGCTGTGAAAGCTGCGGGGTCAGAGGGATCCCAAGCTCCCCAAGCCCTGAGGGTGCCTCGTGCCTCAGTTTCCCCATCTGGCGCTCCGGGATCAGGCGGCCAGGCACGTGTGGGTGTCAGCGGGCACTCCTCTTCCTCAGATAAGGGCAGAGTGTGATGATATAATTCTTGGGAAACGAGCTTGAAAACGGACCAAGCCACGGATGAAACGCCCTATTGTTGTGGCAGGGAGAGGGGACGGTGGCACCGCGACCTCGGCTCCCTGGCCACCCCCCCCTGCCCTGCATCCTGCTCCTTTCCCAGCTCCCTGATCCCAGTGACTCACAGTCCCCGGCCCTGGGAGCCAGCTGGTGTGATTTGGGATGGCTGGCACAGGGATGTCACCCCGGTGGTCACGCCAGGATGGGGCACCCACTTCGGGGATGCACCCAAGGGGTTGGATTTGGAGCGTGGGGGGCATCCAGACCCCCAGACCCGGTATCCTCCCAGTGCATCATCCCCTTTGCTGCCCCGGGGCTTTCCCTACCCTGGAGGGCCGGGCACAAGCAGTGCCATGGCAGGTAGGAAAGTAGGTCAGGAAAAACCCCGGCCCCACACGCGGGGCGAGAGCCGGGGCCGGCGCCTGCAGCCCCGCGGCGGCTCTGCCTCCTCCGGCTCCTTTCATCCCGCGCCTCTCCCGGGGCTCCCCGAACATCAGTGACAGCTCCAGCCCCCCCGGGGAGTCGGGGGGTGCCACGTCTCGCTCTCACCCTGGTCCCGGGGGGCACGGGCTGCTCTCCCCCGGGGTTTTCCGAGCGCTTTGAAAGCCGCCGGATGAAAGGCGCCCGGCGAAGGCTGCGGGCGCAGCGGGAGCGTCCCCCCTGGAGACCCCTTTCCCTGGTGCCACACTCGCTGGGACCCCCGGTGCTGAGCAGGGGGGTGGATTGAGACCCTGCAGTGAACAGCTTCCCCTCCTGCCAGGGGTGGAATTTGGGGATGGAGGTGTTTGTGGCTGCGTGTCCCGGCTGGGGGTGACACCGGTGCGGGACGTCAGGACTGTCCTTGCTCTCGGCTTGGTTTGGGCCCTCAGGGGGTGGCAGTGATGATGTGGGGACTCCAGCAGCAGCCTGATGCATTCCAGCACCTCTCCCAGCTGGAGTGTGGGATGCAGGGTCTGTCCTGAGCATCCTGTGACCTCATTCCTGGGCACTGGAGCATCCCAGCCACGGCCTGCTGCAGCTCCAGGAGGTTGCAGGGTGCAGTGCCATCAGCAGGAGCATCTCCAGAGCTTCTTGGAGCTCTGAACCCGAGATGGGGAGCAGGTGGGAGCTCCACCAGCACCCTGACCCACCACCACCCCCCCATGCAGGTGATGCAGCAGCTCAGGTTGTGCTCAGCACTTTTGCAAGAGCAAAGAGGACGCTTTGCTCCAGTTGGGGCTGAGATGTGACGGCAGATAAAGGTCTGCCAGGCTGTGGTGTGACATTAAAGAGCAGCCAGGAAGAGGAGAGGACAGCTTTCAGATAAACAAAGGGCCCCCTTCCCCGCCCTGTGACACCATGGCAGTGTCCCATCCAGTGTCCCACAAGGAGGGGCAGTGGTGACAGTGTGAGCTGGGAAAGCCCCTCTGGTCGGGAGCAGGATGCTCTGGCAGCCACCAGCCAGACCCACGCTGGGTGTCAAACCCTGGCAGGGTGCAGGGGGATTTCTGTACCCCACGGGGTACAAGGGAATCCCTCCTGCCCCAGAGAGGGTTTCCCTGCCACCTCCCTGGGAAACACCACAGCTGGATCCAGCCATGGGTTGCTCCCAGAGCTCCAGCAGCCTCAGGTCAGGGCAGAGGAGGAGGGTCAGGGATGAAGAACCTACAGTTTGTGGAGCAGCAGATCAGTGCATGTGAGCGAGGGGATGGGGGATCTCCTGCATCACCCCCACGTGCTCATGGGGGATTTCCAGCCCAACCACCCCTGGGATGGGCTCATAGGAAACCACAGAAAGGTCTGCTCCAAAGGCCAGGGAGGCAGGAGAGGAACCAGCCCCATGTGCCCCCCGGGCTCCCTGCTGTCCCCGGTGCCTCCTGGGGGTGCAGGATGTGGTGTGGGCAGAGCAGCAGCTGCACAGGGTGTTAAACCCCAGCCTGGAGCTGGCTCTGGAGCATCCCCATCCTCCAGCCCCGCTCACCCCTTTTCCCTCTCTCCCCAGGTTCCTGGGACCTGAAGGGCTTCGTGGAGGACTTTGGGCTGGGTCACCCTCTGGCCAAGACCCAGTTCCTCACCAAATACTACGAGGATTAGCTCCGACCAGCGCGTCCTTCCCCTGCACGTCCTCACACCACAGAGCCACCTCCACCCAGAGCCAAGGGGACCCCAAGACCCACCGAGGATGCGCCCACCCTGCTCCCCACCCAGACCCACAGCACCAACCCCATCCCCTCCACTCCCAAACCCGAGTTCTCCTTCCCACCCTGAGCGGTGTCCCAGCTATCCCACCCTGGCTATCCCAGGAAGGATGGCATCACCTCTTCTCCTCCCCTCATCCCAATTCCAGACCTTACCCCCAGCATGTCCCACCTGCACTTTGGGGCCCTTGAGTTTGAATGCCTGCAGTTTCCTGAATAAAATATGGATGGAGCACACGGGGGATTCACGGGCTCCTTGCTGGCAGCAAGCACTGGATGGACCAGGTTGTTCTGATGTCTGTACCCACTGCCAGGGATGAGACCCCCTGTGGGAGATGGGGGCGGGGGGTTGCCATCAGAACCCTCATGGAGGTGATCCCAGGCATTCCCAGCGTCACCCAGGAGTGGGAGTGGGATGGTGGTGCCCAACCAGGGGGTCTCTCAGCGGCACCACACAGTGTGGGAACGGGGCACTGCCCTGGCCTGACTCCATCCCTGCCCTGCCTTTGCCCTCAGCCCGCTCCTCTTGGAAAGCAAAACCCAAATTAAAGGCATAAATCAGCAGAGCTCTGCCTACTGGCCACTTAGCCGGACCTCCCCTTTAATTAGCTCCTTAATTAGGCTTTCATCTAAGACTCGGTTTTCTCTGAGGCTCCGATTCACCCGCCTCCAAGTCCTTGAAGCGTGTCCCGGTGTCTCCACTGTGACAAAGCTCACTCTGTCCTGCCCGTGGCCAGGAATAATATTCCACTTGGAAAAACCATGGGGAGCAAGACCCTGGGACGAGGGGACATTTTACAGGCAGGGAAAACTGAGGCACGAGGGAATGACTCGCAGGGAGGTCGGGGATCCCTCCGAGGGGGCGGCGACGCTGCTGTTGCTGCATCGGTCCCTGGGTTTATCCCAGGGCAACTTGTTCCTGAAAAAAACATCCTGCTGGTCACCTTCCCTGGCTCCCCAGCAGTGAGAGTGGATTTCACTCCTTCGTGGGGGGGTTAAATGTGGCTGGGACTTCCCCTCCAGCAGGATACGGCTGTTTGCCTCCCCAGGGGCTGGATCACCACGGTCCCACATCCCTGGGAAAGATCGGGGTGATGGGTATATCCAAGAGGGATGCAGAAGCAGGGGCCCAACTCGCCCTGTGGGCACACACTGGGTGAAGCTGCAGGACCCGGGGGGGGAAGGCAAGCAACAAAAAAAGGAAGCTGGGTAACACCACAAGCCAGGGAAAAAAACAGCCAGCCCGCGGCCGCCGGCGCTAAGATTAGCAGGGAGGAAGTGACACGGCGCCGTGTCATGGAAGTCTGCTAAAGTTGGATTGCTCCCGCTCTTTCCCTCTCCTTGCCCTCGCAGGAGGGTGTAATTGGCCCGTCGGGTCGGTGAGAGGGACTGGTGTAAATGAGAGGTCACGCTCTGTTGACATCCTGCAGCCAAACTCCCGGCGGCCTTTGCTCCCCGCCTGTAATTCCGCGTGGCCGGGGGGGTTATTTTTGGTGAGACGGGAGGGAAAAGCTGATGGGATGTTTATCCTTCTAGGAAATTAGCACCGTTGCTCCTGGGTTTAGTTGGAGGTGGGATGATGAGCCAGGATTGGGATCGCCGGGCACCAGAGCCCGGAGTGATCTACTGCCCTGTGTGACCCTGATGGGAGTGGGAATGGGATGGGGAGCTGGGTTGGGAGTGAGGATGGGGATGGAGAATGGAAATGGGAATGGGGATGAAGATGGGGATGGAGATGGGGATGGAGATGGGGATGGGGATGGAGATGGAGATGGAGATGGAGATGGAGATGGAGATGAGACGGCTGGAGGTGGGATGAAGAACAGGAATGGGAATGAGGATGAGGATGGAGAACAGGGAGGGGGACAGAGATGGAAAGGGAGAGAGGAATGGGAATGAGATGGGAATGGAGATGGAGAGCAGGGATAGGGATAAGGATGGAGATGGGGATGGGGGTGAAGATGGGGATGGAAAAACACAAATGGGGATGAGGATGGGGATGAGGAACAGAAATGGAGATGGGGATGGGATGAGGATGCAGGTAGGATGAGGACGGAGATGGAATGGGGATGGAGATGTATATGATGGAGATGGAGAGGGAGACAGGACAGGGGTGGAGACGGAGATAGGGATAGGGATGGGGAAGGTGTGGATCAGGAATCTGCCCAGGTGGCTGCAGTGTCCCTGTGGTGGGACAATTCCTGCTGGGACACAGGATGGGGCGCTGGTGACCTTGTGTCAGACACAGGGGCCCACACAGGGCTGCAAACTCCGAGCGTGGCAGGAGCTCCAGCCAGCCCCGAGCCACAGCCCCTCGCCGGGATGCACACGGGGCCCTCACGGCGTGGAAAATATTAATTGTGGTTTTCTGGTTCGCTTTTTGGTAATTTAGAAAGAACGAAAGGGCAAAAAAATAAAGCAAAAAGGAGGAAGCCACGTACAGTCACTTTGTGCTGGTCCCACCCCCTTTCTCTCTCCTTCCATTCGCTCACCATCGATTGCGAGAGAGAGAAAAGAGAAGCTGAGCCTCTCGCTGCCTAAATGTAGAAAGTTTTGCTTCTAAATCAGTTTGTGATGGAAAGGAAACACGTCACATCCCTGGGGAAGTGGCTGGTTTTGAGCAGCCACAACCCCAGCGCTGCAATGGAACAGCCCAGCACTGAAATAGCTCCGCGCTCTGTTATTGTCACCCGGAGAAGTTTTTTTCTCTGTCTACGTGTGTCATTTTTAGCCTCCAGAGGAAGTTTTATTTGTATTTGTTACCTCGAATTTCCACTGCCGTGGCTTTTCTTTTTTGACTTTTTCGTGTGAAGGGCTGGGAGAAAACACGGCGGGGTGAGCTCAGGTGTGCTTGGGGTCAGCGGTAGCCGCGGCGCTGCCGGCGTATCCCGGGAATTCCGGCTTGGATTCGTCAGCCTTGCAGAGCCCAGCGGGATTCAAAGGCCGCAGGCCCGTGGAAACACACAGTCCCAGGGATTCTGCGAGCTGAGCTGAGCCCTGTGTGGCTGTGGGGTGGACACAGCTCCCCTTTGCTCCCCCAGGGTGATGTTGTGAGGTGGGTGCGGGCACTTCCAGCCCTTTCCCAAAGCAAACCCACCCACTCGATGGGATCACTGAGGAAGAGGAGGACCTGGAGTTTGAAAAATTAATAGTGAACTCATGAAAATTGAATGTTCCTGGGGAGCTGTGGCAGCGCCCAGCAGAGCACGGGGGGGATGTTTCTTCCCAAAACTGGGCTGGAGGCCAGAAGAAACCTGTGCTAAACACAATCCCTAAATCAGCGGGGTAACAATTACCTATTTTTGATAATCACTGGAACAATTACTCTGCTGAGAGAAAGTCTCAGCCCCTGGCTGGAGGGGAGGCAGCTCTGGGTCTCATCCCCCATTGGAGAGCAGGAGGCATCTCAGATGCAGATTTGGGAGCGGGAGGTGTTTAGGAGCAGGGTCTGGGGGACACCCCTTGCACCCCCAGTGATTCAGTGCCATGTGGGGATGACACAGGGACGATCCAGCTCCGAGGAGCTCAGCAGTGCCAGGCAGCAGCTCCCCCTCACACGGGGACTTGCTCAAGAAGGGATTAGCAGGATCAGCTGATGATGATCTAAGCGCATAACTATATCAACCCGTGAATTAATTAATGATATCTCGCACCTCGGAGTGGCTCTATCTGCAGATCTCTGCACTCCTCAAAGCATCCACTGAATTAAGCCCTGCTGCACCCCCCGGGAAATAGGTCAGGATGGATAATCCCCATGTGCCGGTGGGGACGCGGCGGCACAAGGCGGGGGATAAACAAGGCTGCCCGTTTTGGGAGCCAACATGGGAGATTTTCCAGCACCACCATCCCTGTTGGATGCAAAGGGACCCTGCCCTCTGTGTCAGCCACAGGGTGGGTGATGGTGGGACGCTCCAGTTGCCGGTGCTTTGCTCCCATCCCTCATCCCCGTGCCATGGACACGCAGAGCCCCCAGCCCGGGCATCCCCAGTACCATGGGCTGCTGGTGGTGGTGGGTGCCCACACTGGGAGCCACCAGATCCAGCAGCTGATCCATGGACAGGCAGCTGGGCGGGCCCTGGGAGAGGCTCCTGGGCTGGGGCAGGAATTTAGGGCTCCTGAAGTAATAGGGAAGGCGGGCGAGGCGAGGATGTGTCCCCACCTCTGTGTCCGTGCCAGCACCCAGAGGGGACCAGCGGGCAGCCAGGGGCACGCGGACCAGTCCTGGAGTGATGCCTTCGTTAATTAGTGGTAATTAATTATTATTGGGCCTCCAAAATGCTGTATAATATCAGAGGAGCTTTGCGGTGCTGTTTGGGGGCCCTGCCAAAGCTTGCTTGGTTTGGGGGTCCTGGCCCCCCCCATCCTGCTCACTGGGGCTGGACCGTTCAGCCAGGGTCTTGCAGCATCCTGGGATGCAAATTCCAAGTGTTCCCGAGGGAAAGCTCATCCCGGGATGAGCATTCAAGGGATGCTCAGCAGGGAGAAACTCTGCCCAGGTTTTGTTTCCTCTTTCAGCTGCTCCCCGAGTCGGTTTGGGCTGGGTTTGTCCACAGCCAGTGGGAAGCTCCCAGCCTCTCCCACTCCTCCGGGAGCACGAGCACCTTCAGATGTGGTTTTGCCCCAAAACAGCCCTCGGTAGAACAGAAAAACAGGGAGTTTTTGATACAGTGGTCCCAGCCCACCAGCTTTGCTCCTGCCCAGGAGCTGCTGTGTCTGCGCTGCCCTGTTTATTTTTATCCCAACTCCTGCAGGATCAGGCGGATGCCTCCCGGGGTTTGCATCCCGAGGCGTGGTGGAAGGTGCTGGGTGGCTCTGCCAGCCACCCCTGCAGCCACCGGGGCTGAGGACGGACGGACTCACGGACTCAGCCCGGCTTGTCCTCACTTGTCGGCGGCTCTCGCTGCCGTTCCCTGCCCGCAGCCCCGCGGGTCCTCAGCCAACCTCACATTTCCTCATTGCTAGGAAGTGGCTAATTCCCCCCGGGCTGGTTTCAATGGCTCACAGATCCCTGGCTTTTTGGCCTCCCACCAGTTTCTGCGGTGGTTGAGGCGCAGCCCTCGGGAGCAGCGCGTTCCCAGGCACGCAGCCTCTGGATTTCGCCGGCTGGGAGGACGTCCATCCCTCACACGGGGTCATGGCATGGATACCCCAGCGCTGGATTCACCCCCTGCTCCAGCTCTGCGGCCTCTGAGCCGTGCTCACACAAAACTGAGTCCTTTTCCCGTGGGATGCAGCAGATCCGGGGAGTTCCGCCCTCCTTTGCTCCCCTCCTCCATCAGGGAACGTCTCCGGAGTGGGGTGTCATGGCACAGCTCTCAGGGCTGACACGCAAGAGTCCATTTCCTCTTCTCTTTCTTGGTTTCACATTAAAAAAAGCCTTCGTGGCACCTCTCTGCAAACCCCTCGCTGGGGTCACTCAGGGCCACCAAGCCGAGGTTCCTGCTGGTCCCATAAAATCATCCCTGGTTTCTCAGCCTGCTCCATGCCCGATCCCTGGTTGGAACCCCATCATTCCCAGTGGTGCTGTTCCCTCGGGACCACTTTCACTCCTGGACCTACTATTTAGTTTTCCTGCTACTCACACTGTCTCCTTATCTCCAGGTCACACTGCGCCAGCCACTACTGCTATTGTTCCCTGGCTGGATAATAACAGGAAAGACCTCTGGGCTTGGAAAAAGAGACCTGTCTCGGGCTTGGATGACCCAGAGGTTCCCAGCTTGCTGGTGAACACAGCAACGTGCCCCTTGCTGCCACAGCCTGGAGCCACCCCCTGACCCCAGGCCCTGGGAGCAGTGGGAAGCTGTAGGATGCTCTTTGGGGTGATGCCAGGAAAGGGATGGCAGAGGTGTGGGGACCGTGGGATGCAGGCAAAGCTTCCCCTTGCAGCACTCTGGATGCTCCTGCAAGTGTTTCCCAGGCCTCCAGCCATCTCCCAGTGCTGTCCCCTGCAGGGACTGACCCTGCACCCACTTTCCTGGGGCGTGGGGTGCCCCAGGATCAGCAGAATGGGTTTGCAGCTGCCCTCTGCTCCAAAGGGCTTTTCCTGCCCATCCCAAGCTTTTCACCCTGCTGCTGCACAGGGTGAGGGCAGGGCTGATCCCCCTCTTGCCACGGGGGAAACTGAGGCAGGAAAGGGCTTCCCGCAGCCACCCACGGTGCTCCCTTGGTTTCCCCCACCAGCCTCCCTGGGGTTTGGCCTGTGGGGATCTGTCCTTTGGGATCGACCCAGGGACACCCCAGGGCAGCAAGTTCTGCCTGTGGGTCCCTCCACCACCACCCCCCGCAGGAGGAGGGAGATGCACATCTCCTTTTCCAGGAGGGACAGGAGGGACACGCACATCTCCTTTTCCAGGAGGGACACGCACATCAACTTTTCCAGGAGGGACATGCACGTCTCCTTTTCCATGCATATTTCAATGCGAGCATTTCTGAATATTTCCGGAGGAGAAGGGTGTGGAGTTTTCACAGGCAAATCAGGAAAACCCAGGTGAGGCGGGAGCCGGCGCTGTGGAAGGACGCAGCCCGTGCCGGGAGGGTGTTGGTCCAGGATCAGGAAGGCTGCTGCAGTTTCTCCTGGCTGGAGTTCTCTCAGGCAGAGTTTGGCCCGAAATGAGGATTTCCCACGCCCAACAGCAGCGGAGAAAGTTTCTCCTCCTCCAGAAATTACGGATTACCCTGAGCCCCGTCCCCGCCGGTGCTGAGCATCTCTCACACCCAGGCCACGGGAGGCCCAGAGAATAAATTGCTGCAGGCACAGCCACATCTGGGCAGCTGTTGTTTGCCAGAGGGAACTGACCCCACCCCCGGACTGCCGCATCCCACCTCACCACTCGCAAACAAAACACTCCCAGCCCTGAGAAACCACGGCGGCTTCATCAGATACCCCTGAGACACCCACCCGTGGTTTGGGTGGCTCGGGGTGTATTTTTTCCCTTCTTCGAGCTCCTCGAGAAGGGTTTGTGCCGTCGACCATCCAGGCGGCCGCCCACACGTATGGCCCTGGTACAATCGTCCCCGGGGGTGGGAGGCAGGTGACCTTTCAGGTCCCCACCAGCCACACTATGTTTACGACTCTGTGACCTTACCAGCCCCAGATCTACATCTACAGCGAATCCAAGGGCCTGGGGAGGAAAGTCTTCAGGGCCTGGTAAGTTTGTGCCTCAGGCTTCGCGTCTGAGCATCCTTTGTAATCCGGGATGAGGTGACAATGATGGTCGTCATCATCATCATCATCATCATCACCGATGATCCACCTCTGTCTTTGTGGAGCGGAGACGCCACCAGTGAGTCCGAAAAGCCTGAAACACCCAGCAGAGCTTTCCAGAGACTCTTAAAGAGACGGTGATGAGCACCCCGTGATGACCCTCAGCCTCCAAGGCTCGGCTCTGTCCAAGCTCAGCTCCCATCTCAAGCCCACCAGCAAGGTTTAGAGGACGAGCAATCCCAGGCACAAAACCCAGGCTAACGCTTCCCTCCCTGCAAGCTCATTTCCCCTGCCGTTAACTAGGTGAAAAACCCTGAGGAGTTCCCCTTTTCGAAGCCCCGGTGGTCTCTGGAGGGTTCAGGGCACATGAATCAGGGCCCGGTCACAAGACTGAGAGCGGTGAGAAGTCACTTGTCAGCTGACAGCACCCGCGGGGACACAGTGGCAGCTCCACGGGGGACCAGCAGGGTGTTGGCACAGGGAAGGGCACAGGGCTGCTCTCAGCATCCCACAGCCCCAAAGGCAGGACTGGGGTGGGAGCAGGGGGAGCTGGGGGCTCTCAGTTCCTCGCCAAGGGGAAGCTGCCAAAACTTGGGTCTGTGTCACCGGGATTGAACCAGGTGGGACAGCACTAAACTGTGTCAGGGCTTGTCACAACCCCTGCACGGGCTGTGGGGGAGAGCTGAGGTGAGGGGGTGCAGGGGCAATGTGTGGGGAGGGAGACTTGGAATTGGCACTGAGGAGGGGATGGCAGCACTTCATAGAGCTCTGGAATGCTTTGGGTGGGAAGGGAGCTTAAAACTCATCCAGTTCCACCCCCTGCCATGGGCAGGGACACCTTCCACTAGACCAGGTTGCGGTTGCTCCAAGCCCCTCCAACCTGGCCTTGGACACTTTCAGGGATGGGGCAGCCACAGCTTCTCTGGGAAACTCGTCCCAGGGCCTCACCATCCTCACAGTCAACAATTCCCTCCCAATATCCCATCTAACCCTCCCTCTGGCAGTGGGAAGCCATTCCCTGTATCCTGTCCCTCCATCCCTTGTCCCAAGTCCCTCTCCAGCTCTCCTGAAGCCCCTTCAGGCCCTGGAAGGGGCTCTCAGGTCTCCCTGGATCCTTCTCCAGGTGAACCCCCCCAGCTCTCCCAACCTGGCTCCAGAGCAGAGGGGCTCCAGCCCTCAGAGTATCCCCGTGGCCTCCTCTGGACTCATTCCAGCCATTCCACGTTCTTCTGATGCTGGACCCCAGAGCTGGAGGCAGCTCTGCAGGTGGGGTCCCACCTGAGTGGAGCAGAAGAGGAGATCCATGTGCATGAAACCCCATGGAATCACAGATGCCAGCGATGACAGTCACTGAAACAGCCGGATGAGGATGGGGCTCACGCGAGGCAGGTGTGTGGGATGATGAAAATAAGTGAAACCTCTCAGCTGCAGACTCCATCCAGCCCGAGCTGTAATTTAAAACCATCCCGAGCATCCCAGGTGAGTCTCTCTCTTTTCTCTCCCCTTCCTTTGGGTAAAGAACTCTGCTGGGGATGCTCCGACCCATTAAGCTGAGCTGTAACTAAGCCAGTCCAACCCCCATGCGGCCGTTTTCGTGCCAGTCTAAGGCTGCCTTGGTTTATTTTGGCTTCGGGCCGTTCCCCATCAATTGGCATCAAACCACTGTTAGGAACTGAGCTGTCCCGCTCTCCCCGGCCGGGTTTAACGGCGGGTCCTCGTGACTCAGGAGCTTTAAACCCAGCTTAAACCCAGCTTAAACCACCCCGATTGGGCAGGGAACAGTCGCATTCCCAGCGGGAAGCAGATGCCACTCGTGTCGGGAGGGAGGGGACTTCACGCTGCCGTGGCACTGTCACCCGTGGGGGGCAGGCGCCCACCCGGGTCGGGGTGAGCCAAGTGTGGGGCTGGCACTCGCGGGGATGTTGGGTTTTCCAGCGCAGGGCGAGAAGTTGGGCCAGTCCCTGCTTACTCCGGAGCAGAAATTCCCCGCGGGACCCTCGCCCGTGGGTGCCGAGCAAACCCACACCCCTCCACTACAAATCTGGTGGAACGGGGTGGTGATGGTGGTGCCGGACGCCCCTGATGGTCAAGGAGGGGAGGTTCGGGTTTTTTTAGGGGCGGAGGGTCTCCGCTCTGACCCTCGTGGGGCTGCGCGGCCGCGGGAGCCGGACCCGCAGCATCCCCGGCGCGGCGGATGCGGGCGCGCTCCCGCCGCGGGAACGCGGCGATGGGGAAAGGGCGCCGGGCGCACTTCGGGGAGCGAGAGGGGGTCGGCGGGATCCCCTCCTCGCCCCCGCGGGCCGCGGCGGTGCCGCTCAGGGTGGGTGCGGGTGGTGCATCCCCCTCCACGCCCCGCACCCGCCCCGCACCTCGGCAGCGCCGGGGGCGCCGGAACCGGCGGCCAAAGAAGGGAGCGGAGGCGGGGCCGGATCCAGGCCTTGTATGGCGCTTCCCCTCGGCCGCCCGCCCGCCGCCGCCCCGCTCTCCCCCCTCCTCGGTCCCCCCCCTCCGCCCGCCGCCGCCGCGCTCCCCCCGGGCCGCGCCGGGCCACGGGCGGGGCGGGCGATGGGGAGGGTGGGGGGCTTGAGGCTATGGGGGGGGGCGGGAGGGGGGCAAGTAGGGGGGAAGAGTGACAAAGAGGGGGTGTAAAAGAAGGAGAGTGCCCTGCAAAGGATGGGGGTGATAAGGGTGCAAGGCTCCGGGAGGGGCGGGGGGGTCTGTGGAGAGTTGGGGGCTTTGCGTGGGTTCTGCGGGGATGGGGGGAGGTTCTGTGCTGGGTAGGGGGCTCTACGAAGTATAAGGGGGTTCTGCAAGGATAAGGGGTTCTGCAAGGGTGGGGGGATCTGCACAGGATGGGGGGGATCTGCACAGGATGGGGGGGCCCTGCGAAGGATGGAGGTTCTGAGCAGGGTGGGGGGCTCCTCAAGGATAAGGGGGGGTTCTGTGCAGAATGGGGGGCTCTGCAAGGATAAGGGGGGGTTCTGAGCAGAGTGGGGGGGATCTGTAAGGATAGGGGGGTTCTGCCCAGGGTGGGGGGGCGCTTCTTATGAAATCGGGGTCCGTCGATGGATGGGCGCCGCTGCAGTGGCTGGGGCTGCAGTGGCTGGGGGGCTGCAGGGAACGAGGGGCCCTGAAGAGGATGCGGGGGGCCTTGAACTGGATGTGGGGTGCCCTGAAGTGAATGGTGACCCTGAAGTTGACAGAGCACACAGGCCACTCCTCCCCCCGCACTCACAAACGAGCCAAGTCAGGGCTCGCTGCCCCCCCAGCTCCTGGTACACGCTCCCCCCCGCCCTGCGCTCCGCAGCATCCCCCCCACCCACCCCGGCACCGCGGGGCGACACACCCCGGGTCTGGCAGCACCTCCCCAGCCCCCCTGGTGTGTCCGTCCCACTCTCCCCTCAGCGAGTGCCCGGTCCCCTCCCGCCGCAGCCCTCCCGTAGCCCGGATTTCACTCCCATGGCAAAGCCGGCCCTGCAGGAATTGGGTAAGTGGAGCTATTGCAACACAGCATTTTTCCATACATTTGCTATATAACTCGGAGGGTTTTAAAGATAGCATCAGTTGGCACACTTAGCACGAAACCACCTAATTACTGACGCCTTGGAAGTGCCAAACTTTTAAAGGGGGGAGGTGAGGTTAAAATCACAGGCGACCAACAAGTGTTACCTGTTTTTAAAGTATTCCAAGCGCTGCTCTCCACGGGAGTCGGGGCATGGGGAGGGGGCGGCTCGGGGCAGAGCCATCCCTTCTGTCACCACTGCCACCACAGCGAGGAGATGGAGGCTTCTGCAGCCCCCCCGCTGACCCTCTCCTTGCCACCAAACTCCACTGCCTGGCGCTGTGGTTTTCCACGCACAGCTGCCATCCCGTTTCTCTCCCATCCCGGGTTGCGGGATGGGGTTTGTGGCCGGTTCCCCCGCGCTCCTGGTCTCCAGTCGGGGAAAAAAACCCCTCCCGGTAAGAGCCTGGCTCTGAGCAGCCCCGGGGGCGGCCGCAGGGTCAGGCACGGCGGGGGCGGGCTGTCCCCGCGCCCTCGCTCCTTCCCCGGGGGGAACGATCCGGGCAGGGAGGGGCCGGAGCCGCCGCCACCTGCCCTTCGTGGGGGTCCGGCATCTCTCGGTGAGGGAGTGTCAGTGCTAGGGGGGAGACCCCCGGCCCGGTGCAGTGTGCCCGGTATCCGGTGCAAGATGCCCGGTGCCCTTAACAGGGTTCCCGGTGCCCAGCGCCCAGCGCAGAATGCCCGGCGCAGGATGCCTGATGCACGTCCGGCCCCCGGGACTCGATGCCTAGCGCGGGATGCCCGGTGCCCGGTGCCCTGTGGAGGATGCCTGGTGCTCGGTACCCCTTCCCCGGTGTAGGATGCCCGGTACCCTGTTCCGGTGCCCCTTTCCCGGTGCAGGATGCCCCGTTCCCGGTACCCCTTTCCCGGTGTAGGACGCGCCGTTCCCGGTACCCCTTTTCCGGTGCAGGACGCCCGGTACCCGGAGCGTGATGCCCGGTGTCCGGTACCCCTTTCCGGGTGCAGGATGCCCCTTTCCCGGTGCAGGATGCCCGGTGCCCTGTCCCCCTTGCCCCAGCGGCAGGGTCCCCGGTGGTGCCCCCTTTGCCCTGTCCCCTTGTCCCCCCGTCCCCTCGCGCGCCGGTCGCCGCTTCCTGCTCTCTCTTTCTCTCCCTCTCTCTCTCTCTCCCCAAACGTTCCATTGTGCGGAGCTTCCATTGTGACGTCTCGGCCTCGGCTCGGCTTTGTCTGTCCATATATGGGCAGCTACGTCACGGAGCGCTCCCGCATAAAGGCCCCGCGGAGTCCCCGGCGGAGCAGTCGGGCGGCAGCGAAGGAACCGGGCGAGCGGAGCGGGGCCGAGCGCGGGGGGGAGCGGGGCCGGGAGCCGGCGACAGAGAGAGAGAGAGGAGGGGTTAAATCCTCCCCCCCACCCCCCCCCCCCAACCCCGCTTCTACAATCACATCTGCCAGCCAGATCGCCCCCCTCCCCCTCGAGGAAACACCACCAAGGGACCCCACGGAGGACCGCGCCCCCCCCGCGCCCCCTCCTCCGCGGCCACCCCCGGCCCCCCCGCCCCCCCACGCCTCCTCCTCCTCCTCCTCCCCCCCGCCGCCCCCGCCCCAACTTTTTTTCTTGCATGATTTCCCTCGCACGGATTTGCCACTCGGATGTTGTTTCCTCGGGAGCTGAGCTCGGAGCCACGTTGAACCAGCCTTTTCCTCCAGTGCTATGACAGGCAAACTACTGGAGAAGCTGCCGGGGACCATGAACACTTTGATGAACCAATTGCCTGACAATCTGTACCCAGAGGAGATCCCCAACTCTTTGAATATCTTCTCCAGCACCAGCGACTCGGTGGCTCACTACAACCAGATGGCTGCAGGTAAAAGGGGAGGGGGGGGGGAAGGAAAATGGGGAGAAGCGGCGCAGCGAGGGGGGGGGGTGTGGAAGCCGGTGGGGCGAGGAGGAGGATGCTGTGGGTAGGGTGTCATGGAGCCTCGGAGGGAAGGGAAGAGCTGGGGCTGGGGAGCGTCCCCCCCCCCGCACCCACCCACCCCTTTTCCTCGCCGTGTTCTCCGCGCGATCGCTGCAGGGGCTCCGCCGAGCGCTGCCGCCGCCGAGCCGCCGCCGCAGGTACGGGCACGGCGGCCGGGGCTCCGTGGGGGCGGAGGACACGGGTGGAAAAGCCGGGGGGGAAAGGCCGGGGGGGCACCCCAGTGTCGCGCAGCGGGGCCGCCCGCCCGCGCCGGGCTCCGCGCGGGTGCGGAGGCGCCGCGGACGCGCGTGGGGCCGTGGCGGCCGCCCCCCCCACACCCCGCAGCGGCGGCGGCGGCAGCGTGGGCTCCCCGGGACGCGGCGACGACTTTCCCGGAGCGCGGGGTTGAGGGGGAAAAGGAGCGCGGGGGGGGGACAGGAGAAGGGAGGACCTGGGGGGCACAGGTGAGCGCCGAGGGCGGCGGGGGCGGGTGCTCCCCGCGTGTCCCCGCTCCCACGCGGAGCCCCGCCAGGCTAAACCCCCGCTGCCTCCATCATCCCCGTGTTTCTCCTCGCCGGGGCTCGGCGCAGGGAAGGCGGCGAGTCGGTAACGGCGGCGTCGGCGGCCGCAGCCCCGGCTCCGCGGAGTGCCCAGCGCTGCCGGGGCTGGACGGGGAGGAAGCCTACCTGTAGTCGCAGGTACCTCCTTCCCCCGGCGGGGCGGCGGTGGGGTGTCCCCCACCCACCCACCCACCCAGGGCAGCTCCCCGCGGGGGCGGCGGGGGCGGCCCCGCATCGTCGGGACCCCCGGCAGGCAGCGCCGCATACGCGGGGTGGAAGCGGAGAGGGGTGCGGGGAGAGCGGGGCCAGGGGGAACCAGCGCATCCCCGGCTCCCCGGAGCATCCCTCGGTGCGTCCCCGGTGCTCCCCCTCCCGGGCCCACCCGGCTCACCCTGCCCCGCTTCTCTCGCACTTTGCAGATAATGTTATGGACATTGGCTTAGCGAACGAAAAGGCCGGTCAGGAATTGTCCTCCTACTCGGGCACTTTTCAACCCGCCCCGGGCAACAAGACTGTCACCTACCTGGGGAAATTCGCTTTCGACTCGCCCTCCAACTGGTGCCAGGACAACATCATCAGCCTGATGAGCGCCGGCATCCTGGGGGTGCCGCCGTCCTCGGGCGCGCTCACCAGCACGCAGAGCTCGGCGGGCAGCATGGGGCCGCCGCAGGGCGAGGTGGACCAGATGTACCCCGCGCTGCCGCCCTACTCCTCCTGCAGTGACCTCTACCCAGAGCCCGTCTCCTTCCACGACCCCCAGAGCAACCCCGGCCTCACCTACTCCCCCCAGGATTACCAGGCGGCCAAGCCCGCCTTGGACAGCAACCTCTTCCCCATGATCCCAGACTATAACCTCTACCACCACCCCAACGACATGGGCACCATCACGGAGCACAAACCCTTCCAGAGCTTGGACCCCATCCGCGTCAACCCGCCCCCCATCACCCCGCTGGAGACCATCAAGGCCTTCAAGGACAAGCAGATCCACCCGGGTTTCGGGGGGCTGCCGCAGCCGCCCCTCACCCTCAAGCCCATCCGACCCCGCAAGTACCCCAACCGGCCCAGCAAGACGCCGCTCCACGAGCGGCCCCACGCCTGCCCCGCCGAGGGCTGCGACCGCCGCTTCTCCCGCTCCGACGAGCTCACCCGCCACCTCCGCATCCACACGGGCCACAAGCCCTTCCAGTGCCGCATCTGCATGCGGAGCTTCAGCCGCAGCGACCACCTCACCACCCACATCCGCACCCACACCGGCGAGAAGCCCTTCGCCTGCGAGTTCTGCGGCCGCAAGTTCGCCCGCTCCGACGAGCGCAAGCGGCACGCCAAGATCCACCTCAAGCAGAAGGAGAAGAAGGCCGAGAAGGGCTCGGGCGGGCAGCCCCCCGCCGCGCCCCCCACCGCCGCCGCCGCCACCACCTCGCCCCCCGTCGCCCTCGCCCCCGCCGTCACCACGTGCGCTTGAGGGACCGTGGGGGGCGGCGCGGTGGCACCCCCTTCTCCTCCCCTTGCCCTCTCGGCGCCGCTCCGGGGGGAACCCCCGCGGTGTTCAGGATACCCCGGGGTTGTGCTGCGACGGGTCCGCGCCCGGATTGAGCGGGTCCAGGCTGCCCGCACCCGGATCCTGCCTGCACTTGGATCGACGGGACCCGCACTGCCCGCACCCGGATTGCCCGGACTTGCGCTGCCCGCGCCGGGGCTGCCCGCACCACCTGGATCCCGGCTGCCTGCTCCCGCACCTCCCAGATCCCGGCTGCTTCCACCCGCACCGCCCGGGGCCGGGGCCGCCCGCACTGCCTGGATCCCGGCCTCCTGCTCCCGCAGCTCCCGGATCCCGGCTGCTCACACCCGCACTGCCCGGGGCTGGGCTGCCCACACACGGCTCACCCGGATCCCTGCTGCCCGCACCCTCTTCCCGGATCCCTGCTCCCACACCTGGATTACCTGAACCTCCTGGATCCCGGCTGGATTGCCCAGTCCTGGCTCTCCCAGCTCCAGCTCTCCCACACCCCACCACCCGCACCCTGCTCCTCCCGGGGACATCCCGCCCGCACCCTCCCGGCCCGGCTCCGGGCTGCCCGGGCGGTGAATCCCGGGAATCCCCGCTAACCCACATCCCAGGGCTCGGTTCCGAGCCGCCCGCTCCCCCCGGGGGCTGGGTGCTCCAGGATCGGCCCCCCCACCACCTCCTCCCTGGTCCCGACCCGCCCGGCTCCTCCGGGGGCTGGGGACTCCAGGATCCGTGTGGGGATGGATGGATGGACGGACGGACGGATGGACGGAAGGATGGATGGAAGGAGCCGATCCCTCACCGGGCCTGGAGCCCCCGTTGTCCCCCCCATCCCCGTGTCCCCCCCGTGCCCCCCAAGCACCGGCTCCCCGTGGTGGAGGTAAGAGGGCTCGGCCCCCCCAAGCCGGGCTGGCGGGCGGGGGGCGGCTCTGCGGGTCCCCCCAACTTCGGGGGTGTTGTCCCAGCAGCAGCTTTTGGGTTTGTTTTCTTATTTTTTTTTTCCTTCCCTTTTCCTTTTTATGTTATTTTTATTTTTTATTTTTTTTTCAGCAGAAGGGAAATTCTTTACAGAAATGCAGAAAAAAAGCACCCCAGTATTTTGCTGAATACTTTTTATAATGTGAGATATTTTTATTTTATTTTATTTGGTCACTTTAAAACAACCACCCAACTACGGAGGAGAAAAATCAATTAGTCCTCTATTTTATTTTTTTTTCTTTTTTTTCTTTCTCCTTCTGGTATGTGCATGTCATTGCATGACTGCTCTGATTTTTTTCTTCTTTTGTTTTAATAAAACTGTGCTCAGACATTTAAGCTAAACTAAGCAAAAATAATAATGACTTAAAAAGAAAAAAAAATCTTTGTTGCCAAAAGGTCGTGCTATCCAGGTTTGATGTCTGCATGTGAAAAAAAAAAACTACAAAAAAACACATTAAAAACATACAAAAAATAAAGAGAAGAGGAAGAATGCAGTCTAATTTATGTGAACTGAAAGGAACAAAAAAAAAAAAAACAAAAAACAAACAAACCACAATCAGGTTTAACCACACAAACCTAAGGGAATGATATTTTTTGAAAGACTTTTGTATAAAGTTGAGTACTTAGAGAAAAAAAAATCATACCAGATGTAATATATTTTGTGGATGTTTTTATTTCTTGGATTTATAGTACCTTATACTAAGGTTAAAAAAAAAAATTATGCTTGATATTGTGAAAAGGTGACAATTTTCACACACATTTCATTTGCTCATTTGTCATGTTGTAATGCAAATATGATAGTTAATGCATACAGCATTTTTAAGGGAAAAAATCAGAAATATTGAACTGATGTATTGTTGTACCATTTGCACTGTGAGCAAATGCTAATGCAGTAAATATATTGTGTTTGCTGACAATCAAAATCTGTAGTAAATATCTTTATTTGCTTAAAAATGATCTATACTGCTTTGGAAAGAGAAAAAAAAACAAAACCAAACAACCAGTAACGTGTAAGGGGGTTGTAAAACGTGCAGGGAAGTGGGTGCTGTGTCTCCTCATGGGCGACTTTGAAACCTGTTTGTACAGACTTTTCTTTTATTTATTTATTTATTTATTTTTTTCCCTCCCCTCCGAGCGTTGTATTTCCTTAAATATTATTTTTTTATGTGATTTTAAAAAAAAGAGAAAAAAAAAAAGAGAAATAACCCACTTCTTTTCTCAGCCTCCCCCCCCCCCCCCCCCCCCCCTTTCTCTCCTTCAGTTCTGTTTGCAGGATTGGCACAGCGAGACCGGCTGGGTGACCCCGAAGGCGACCGGCTCTTGCGTCCCCCCTCTTTTTTCCCCCGGTCGTTCCCACTCTTCCCAAACCCCGCGTCCTTGGCGCGCCCTTGGCCTCGCATCCCGCTTTTCCCCCCGCTCGTGCCGCCGCCCTGACCCCGCCGCCGCCGCCACCATTTTTTTCCGGCGGTTTCTGCAGCTCTCGGATCACGGTTGGGCCAAAGAGGATCGCGCCGCTTCAGCCGGTAATGCCCCCGTGCCCTTCGCCCGCCAAATCGCCCCCGGGGCGGCGCCCGGAGGGGGATTTTGATTCCCAGGCTGGAGCGCTCGGGATAAAAATAACCCCCCGCTGGGTTTCGGCGCTGGCACGAGGAACGAGTGGGAGAAGAAGGAGCTTGGAGGCGCTTTGGATGTTTGGGATGGTGGCGCGTGGGGTGGTTGAATCCGTCCCCGGGGATCCAACCGGGGGCTCCTGGAGCTGGGATTGTGCTGGAGGATCCCAGAGTGAGGGTCTGGGGGGTCCAGCTCTGCCAGGACGGAGCGGTCGAGCATCCCACAAGTGTCCCCTTTGCCAAGGCCTTGCTGGCAGTGCTGGGGGTTGGTGTTGGCGCTGTGGTCTTTCCCGGTGTTCCCGAGGCACGGAGGCGTTGGAATTGTTGTCAGATTTCCCGCAGATCTGCAGTTGGGCCCGGAGGAGCTGCTGCTCCAGCTCTGCCCATCCCAGGGGGTTGCTGAGCCCCCTGGGCTTGGAGGGGCTTTAATTTGGGGAGAATTTGAGGGCTGACGGTGGCTCGGGGCCCACCTGGCCCAGCCAGAGATGGCATCTCATGGCACTGGGGACTTGCCTTTGGAGCCCACGGGCGCTGCGTCGGGTGTGCTCCGGTGCCTCCGAGTGGATTCCCATGTGGTTGAGTGTCTGGTGACCATGTGAGGCTGGGCTGGGACGAGCTGGGATCGTCCTCCCCTCTGGGAGGTCCTGCAGCCCCCAGGGGCTGTGGGTTGGTTTTGGAGCCACCGGTCCCCGCAGTGTCCCCGCGATGTCCCCGTGTGTGGCCCGGCTGAGCCGAGGTGGATGGTAGGAACCAGCGCTGCCATGACCCCCAGCATCACCCGAGGGAGCTGTGGCAGTGTTGTTGGTGGTGGTTGTGCCCATTTCCACCGCTGGCTCACGCTGGAAGACGCTGGAGATACCGGCAGTGGGCAGGAGATGCCACAGCGAGGAGCCACCCGAGGCCGCGCCAACATTTTGGGCTCCTTCCGTGGGCGAGGAAGAGGAGGAGGGAAGGAGCCCACCAGGTCCTGGGCACCTGCTGTGCCCCTCTGGGCCCAGCCATCCCCGCTGGGCAGGACCCTCCCGGCGTGGAGCAGGAAGCCGAGGAGCACCGGGAGCACCCTTGGGTGGCAGAACGCGGGGAGTGCGTGCAGCACCTTGCACGAAAAATGTTGGTTGCTACGGAAACACGGCACTTTCCATCCCCGTTCTGGGCTATCTGTGTTCTGGGGAGGAGGGAAGGGCTTCCAGTCACGTACCAACTCCACACAACTTGCTGCCTTTCCCCTCCTCGACGGCACCGCCAGGGTCCCTGGGAGGCCGCCGGCGCCTCGCTGCTCCCTGCTGAGGGTCTTCAGGGCTTTGCAGGATGTTGGTGAACACCCCAGAGCTCTCCACGGGATGGGATTTGCCGCTCAGGAGGAGCACTAAGAGCCGAGACCCCCTCCTTGGGGTGGGCAGCGAAGAGGACCCTCAGCCCAGAAGCTCCTGGTTTTGCAGCTGGTGCTACAGATGTTGGTGGGATCCTTCCCTGATCTTCCCAGCTCCAGCTCTGCCTCTCCTGCTGCCTGGCAGGAGACAGAAGGTCTGGATGGTTCTGGATCACCTGATCCTCATCCTCCTGTGCCAGCACCGTGTGGATCCCCTTTCCTTTCTCCCCATCTCCTGGCCAGAGTGTTTTGGGGGAAGGGGCCAGACTTGCCCCCCTCAGCACACGCCTGGGAGAGGGGGACACACCGGGCAGAGCCTCCATGGAAGATGCTCCCGGAGCCCCATCGGGATGTCAGATCCAGGATCTGCTTGTCCCAGCTCTGCCACGTCCCCTGTGCCCCGAGGTGACAGCGTGGGGCACCACAGTGGGGATGGCAGCCAGGAGCAGCAGGAACCACCAGCCAAACCCTCCTGGCACCAGCCTCCCTCCAGAGGGGGATGCAGTGGGATCCTCCCAGCTCCCTGACACCCCACCAGCACCCCAAAAACTGATCCCTTTCCCTCGCAGCCTCCCCTCTCCACCAACCCCTTCAGCTCATTCTCCCCATCCCAGCCCAAAATGGGACAACTGGTGGGGACTGACACCCCCCACTCCAGCCCTGCCCTCCCCCTCCCTGCTCCTTTTGGGCTAATCCCTGTCCTCACCGGTGTCGGTGACACCTTCCCAGTTTAGCATCATCCTCCCTGGCTGTAATTACTGTGCTGTTTATTTACCTCCACCTGCTAATTGATAAAGCCACCCCTGGCACCCATCCCAGGCCTCCTCCCCGTGTGCTGGCATGTGCTGGCACCGGCCCGGTGTCACCGAGCCCGTTCCCAACACCGGGATGTCACCCCCGGGGGGGGGTGTCCCAGGGCACCCAGAGCTCGGGGTGGGGGGGCTTTGCCTCACCCTGGGGGTCACAGTTGGGGGACAGGGCGGTTTTTTGGTCTCCCAAAAGGCTTTGCTGCCCCACCAGCCCCTGCCCAGCCTCCTGGGGGTGGGGCTGGGGGGGTTTCCCCACAAAAATGGGTGCTTGGTCTTCCACGCCTGGCACACGTTTCTGCTGCTCTTCCTTGGGATTTCCTTGGCTGGGGCAGCCCTGCTCCCCCCTGTGCCCTCACCCACCCCAGGGACGATCCCAGACAATCCCAGTACCATTGCCAACCCCAGGGATGCTCCTGGGCACCCTGTTTTCATGCCCTCGCCCACCCCAGGAATGATCCAAGGCAATTCCTTCCCTTTGCCCACCCCAGGATGGTCCCGGGCATCCGTTCCCAGTTCCATTGCCCACCCCAGGAATGCTCCCAGGCAATCCCTTGTCCTTGCCCATCCCAGGGATGATCCCAGGCAATTCCTCCCCCTTGCCCACCCCAGGATGGTCCCGGGCATCTGTTCCCAGTTCCATTGCCCACCCCAGGGATGCTCCCAGGCAATCCCTTCTCCTCGCCCACCCCATGGTGATCCCGGGCATCCCATGCTCGTGTCCTCACCCACTTTGGGGTCTCCTGGGCATCCTGGATCCCACGCACACCCTCTCCTACCCCAGGGATGATTCCAGGCCATCCATTCCCCTCTCCCACCCCAGGAACGATCCCAGACAATCCCTGTTCCACTGCCCACCCCCGGGACGATCCCAGACAATCCCTGTTCCATTGCCCACCCCCAGGATGATCCCAGTCCGTTCCTTCCCCCTCCCATCCCACGGTTCCCAGCGGTTTCACTCCTCCCCTCCCGTCCCCTTTCCGCGCTTTGCACCGAAATCGGGAGGACTTTCGGTGTTTTCTTCCCCCGCCCGTTACGTCACGCGATCCACGACGTCACGCACTACAACAGTGACGTCACTCATCCACCCGTGACGTCACGGCGGCGCGCGGCGGGTTCAAAGGCTCGCGGCGCTCCCGGAAGGGGCGGGGCCAAAGGCGGTGGCACTTCCGGGAGCGGCGGGAGAACATGAGCTGGTGAGTGCGGGGGGAACAACCGGGAATAACACCGGGAATAACACCGGGAATAACCGGGAATAACGCCGGGAACAATCGGGACAGGGACCCACGGCGATAACCGGGACCGGGAACACCGGGAGTAACCGGGACAGGGACCGGGAACACCGGGAATAACCGGGACAGGGACCGGGAACACAGGGAATTGCACCGGGAATAACACCGGGAATAGCCGGGACAGGGACCCCCAGGAACACCGGCAGTAACACCGGGAATAACACCGGGAATAACCGGGACAGTCACCCCCGGGAACACAGGGAATTGTACCGGGAATAACACAGGAAATAACCGGGGCAGGGACCGGGAACACCGGGAATAACACCGGGAATAACCGGGACAATGACGGGGAATACCGGGACGGGGAACACCGGGAATAACCGGGACAGGGACCGGTGGGTCCCAGTGCTGGCTTGGCTTTTCCCAGTGCTGGCCGGGCTTTTCCCAGTGCTGGCCACACTCTTCCTGGTTCCTGGCCCTGGTGGTCCCCTGGGTCTGGCTAAAGGTCCCCAAATGTCCCCAAAGCGGCTCCGTGCTCTGACCCGCTGCAAACCCACCCTCAACACCGCGAAAGCAAAGCTTTTTTCCCTTCAAAAAGGAGGAAAAACCATTTTCCCACGTGCCCTGGGATCAGACACCTCGCGTGCCTTTGGGGCTTATTTGAAGGAATTATGTTAGAAATCGGTAATACTATTAATTGATCTGGACTGTGGGTGTTCTCATCCTGGCTTGTCCTGGAGATCCAGCGCCGTTGTGAGGGGTGAAGGGTGGGATGGATTACGTTTAAAAAAAAGGCCTTTTTTCCTCACCTGGAAGGTTGAGTTTGCCGTGGTTGGAAATGTAAGATTTTTTCGGGTTGGGAGCGGTGGAAGTTGTGGTTTGGAAACCTGCTGGGGTAACATGATG